CAACATTTGTTGTTGTTTTGTCTTTTCGATGATGGCGATCCTTACTGGCACAGCAGCATTTTTAAGCAATTGCAGTAAATAACCTATCTCCTATTTGGCCACCATCTCAGATAAAAGCTTTGCTTAACCTCAAAAAACACTAATAGTGTAATTCCTAACAGCAGAATTATTTCCATTTTGTTTACAACCAACTCTTTTTACCATAATTGAAGGTAATATTTTCCATGAAAGACCTGGTTTAATTAAGTGATATGCAGATCAGCTGTGATTGTCTTTTTTGCAGCAACTCACAAAATTGCTTTATTTCCTCCTTATATCAAATAGTTAAAAATCATTAATTAGCTTGCTCTTCAAAGGTACTGCTATTGGAAATAAAGGGTATATCTACTTTAATAAAGACATTTAGTTGTTAATCACTTCCAATGGTATTAGGGCAAAAGGCTAGATATTAACAGATTTTATACTTGAATGGAACATCAGTAAGAAAGGTACTTATTGTTGTATAATATCTCCAGCTTTTCTTAACTTGAGAATTGATAGACTCAAATTCCTGGTTGCTATATGAATTCAGAAATAATCATTTCCTTTGAAAATCATACTCAAATTTTCCAATAAATAATAGTATACAGTGCCTTTGAAGGCTGTCATATTAAAGACATCAAATTTTACTTCTTATAAAATGGAAGGTTTTGTTTGTTTTTTAAATCAGGGGATGTGGATATACCTTAATAAACTGCTGGCTCACCCCGTCACTGGGACATTCCACCCAATGACATGTGGTCCAGGACCCTGGCCAGGAGCTGAGGCAGGGGGCGCCAAGGGCAGAGCACGTGGAGCCCAGTCACATGGGCTGAAGGTTGAGTTTCACTGGAAGTTTCTTGACCTCTGTACATGGGCCTCCTCATATGCAGGAGGGAGACCACACTGCCTCTTCAGGGTGCGGCTGTGTACAGCCCAGGGCCAGGCACCTCCCAGCCAGGCACCTCCTTAGTTCCAGACTCCTTGCTCCAGCCTAGCTTGCTGCTATTGCTGTGGTAGACAGGGACCAGACCAGAGGAGGCCTCAGGGCCAAGGGAGCACTGGGCAACCAGAGAACCCTGTCCAGGCTGGGGAGGAGACATCTGACATGGGGCACAGGGTCTGCGTTTTATTTCACTGTATATGCCCCAACAGACCCACCCACAGACTCTTGCTCAGTCCTGGTTTTCAGTGAAAATATGAAGGAATCAAGAAGGCTTTGAACTCTTAACAGATTTAACTTCTAACTTTTTGCAGATACAAACTGCAAACATTCCAACAAATTAATATGATGTGCTTGCATTCAGATGAGGGTTAGACTATTTTAACATTAGGTGCAAAGAAAAACTTGCTTCAGTGATGAAGATTCAGCAGGCAAAGAGCAGCATGAAAACCTCGCAGCGCACCCAACATGGAGCCAAGACCCACTGGTTATGTAGTGGGTGAGTCAGGAGGCTGCCGCCTTGCGTGACTGAAAGATGAAATTAACAGCTACTAGAAAGACTGTTTTCTCACAGGGGATCAAAGTAGCAAGAACGTAAGGATGGGGACATGCACTACGGGTCTCAGCTCTTCACTCTGGGCTGAACGCTGCTGACACAGATGAATACAGTTGCAGAGCTTTTCCTTTTGTGTTCCTGACAAATGTTACGGCTGTATCATGAGGCATTTCAGTTGAAATGCTGCTTTTCTATAACCTTCTGCTCTTGGTGGTGCTCAAGGACAAAACCCAGAAGTTGAGCAGGACAATTCTGTAAGCCTCTAAATAGGAGGAAGGCAGTCTAATGCTGTGAGGTTCTCAAAAAAGGCCAAGCTCCTGTCTTAATCTTCCCAGGCTGCTACAACAAAATGCCATAAACTGGGTGGCTGAAACAAAACACATTTATTTCTCACAGTTCTGGAAGCTGGAAGTCCGAGATCAAGGTGCCAGCCAATTCAGTTCCTGGCGGGTGTCCTCTTCCTGGCTTGCAGCCAGCTGCCCCCCTTCGTCTGCGTTCTCAATGGCAGCAAGACAGCGCGGCAGCTCTGGTTTCTTCTTGTAAGCGCACTAATCCCGTCATGGCACACCTCCCTCGTGACCTCATCTAAAATTAATCACCTCCAGAAGCCCCACCTCCAAACACCAACACATTGCAGGTTAGGACCTCAAATGCGGATGGGGGTGGGCCCAAACATTCCGTCCACAACAATCTCCCCCACGCAAGCGTCCTCATGCTGAGAGAACTCCAGGGGTGAAGAGTGGCGCCGGATTACCGACCAGTCCCTGTGAAGCTGGTGCTTCGTTTGGCAACATGGGAAACACACCTGATGACGACAGGCTTCAGGCAGTTTCCATGCAAGGACCCACGAGGAGCTCAGACGGCAGTTTCTCGGCTGCTCATGGTCATGAGAGAAGGATCAGGTGCCACCACCTTTACTCAGAAGGAGGTTGCAGCAAAACATACAGGTCACTCCACACAAAAATGCTTATTGAGTTCTTAGTGCAAGATACCAGTGCTAAAGACACTGCGATGAATCCATGCCCTCAGGCAGTTTATACTTGAGGAAGAACAGAGAGGCCTGGGCCACCTGGTGCAGATATGAATACAGTTGCAGAGCTTTTCCTTTTGTGTTCCTGACAAATGTTACGGCTGTATCATGAGGCATTTCAGTTGAAATGCTGCTTTTCTATAACCTTCTGCTCTTGGTGGTGCTCAAGGACAAAACCCAGAAGTTGAGCAGGACAATTCTGTAAGCCTCTAAATAGGAGGAAGGCAGTCTAATGCTGTGAGGTTCTCAAAAAAGGCCAAGCTCCTGTCTTAATCTTCCCAGGCTGCTACAACAAAATGCCATAAACTGGGTGGCTGAAACAAAACACATTTATTTCTCACAGTTCTGGAAGCTGGAAGTCCGAGATCAAGGTGCCAGCCAATTCAGTTCCTGGCGGGTGTCCTCTTCCTGGCTTGCAGCCAGCTGCCCCCCTTCGTCTGCGTTCTCAATGGCAGCAAGACAGCGCGGCAGCTCTGGTTTCTTCTTGTAAGCGCACTAATCCCGTCATGGCACACCTCCCTCGTGACCTCATCTAAAATTAATCACCTCCAGAAGCCCCACCTCCAAACACCAACACATTGCAGGTTAGGACCTCAAATGCGGATGGGGGTGGGCCCAAACATTCCGTCCACAACAATCTCCCCCACGCAAGCGTCCTCATGCTGAGAGAACTCCAGGGGTGAAGAGTGGCGCCGGATTACCGACCAGTCCCTGTGAAGCTGGTGCTTCGTTTGGCAACATGGGAAACACACCTGATGACGACAGGCTTCAGGCAGTTTCCATGCAAGGACCCACGAGGAGCTCAGACGGCAGTTTCTCGGCTGCT